GTAACTCCTGTACACTAAGATCAACAGCAGTGACCCACAAAAGATATATAGTGTAGATATACACACACATAGATAGTTAATACTATTAAAAAGTGATTTTAACCTTGTTTTTTATTATGTATTTATTTTAACCCTGTAATTAGCTCTTATTGATCGATATCAAACGTTACCAAAATATTTGTTTCCTACAATGTTCTAAAATATTTTAATGAGCGTCAGAAGTCTATTAGACCGCACAAAGTCAGTATGATAAACTATAGATACAGAAAACATAACACTACCAGTATAGAAGTTGATAAAGCGACATTTGCTCCGACTGAATAAAGTCCTATTCAGGGGACCTAGTGAGTTTATATCACATCGACTCGCTCTCGACGACGAGCGCGTTCAGCGTTGTAAATTGCGAATGGTGAAGATTTCAGTGCTGGCCGAATGAGTTGATGTGAATTAAACTGACACTAGGTCTTCAGGTCACTTAGAAGTTGTCTATCGCGTATCTCTTATCTCGCTGACAATGTTACAGTTGCATTTCTTCTACTTTCAATTTCGGAAATGTGAAAAATGTGTGCCTAATCATCGAGCTAACTTACTCGCCGTTGCCGTAGCGACATTCCACTGAATTATCTCAACTAGTCAAAGCTGTCACATATGGCCTATAATGCGACGGCTTAATCCTTCTTATTTTATTTTATTTATTAGGGACAAAAAACAGTTATACAATGTAGTCTTTACAATTGATTTAGCATTTACATATTTAAAACGTATAACCCACACTATTGTCCACGAGTTTATAGATGAAGTAGAAAAGGTAACGGACGTGCACTATACACAATCGGTGAATTATATGTAATAATATAAGATAGATAGGTAGTTAACTAAGAATGTTATCATAGATCAGCAAGAATTTCAGTGGCAATTTTTTTAAATTTAGTGAGTGAGAGCGAAAATATCCAAGCTCGTAACATGTGAGTTGTACGTTGTCAATACTCGGCGAAGAGGTGCACGCTCTCCAGCATTAGTTCTACACTTTTCCGTGTAGAATAATCGAGGTTCTTATAAACAAGGAGGAAGTCTACTCTCTCGGTGTTGCAGCGGTAGCGTATGCGGAAAGTCGGACCAAAAGTTTGTATGACTTGCAAATATTTGCTTCAGAGTTTAGGTGTTTTCTATATATGTATTTACACAAAAAAGTAAATAAGTATTCTATCAGTCAATCTAGCTGTCACAGTACAAGCTCTGCTTAGTTTGAAACTAAATGGCGTTGTGGGACTGCAGGAACACGAAATAAAAAAGTAAAGCTTATTAAAATATTGTATTCATCATTAACACTACAATTTAATTTACATTACACAATACCTTATCTACATAGCGATCGCATCGCACCTATAGAATACATTATGAAGCGCATACACCTGATTGTGCACTGTTAGATCAAGCTTTTACCTGTGATGATTAAAAATAAACATTATTAATATCAATATAATTATTAATTTGAACACATTATATCGACTTTATAAAAACACGCCTTAAGTCCTGTAAATACATAAAACATGTATTTTTTATATATAAGTATGTAGTTTATATTTCGACTTATTGTATGTTTAAATATATACCAGACTTGCCATTTTAATGATTGGCAAAATCGATATGGGGGAGGTGGAGGAACAAGGAGCACCAGTTCGTAAAGTAAGTTTTAGGTGGCGCCACTTTACTAGAGATTGCAGTAATCACACTAATCACCACAAAATAATATTTTTCATATCAGTGCACCCCGTCTAAAGTTGCTACGTTTATAATACTAACGCTGTCGGGTCTTGAATTACCATTCGGTTTGACACTTATTTGATTTGCCGCTAAACAAAATGTTCCTCCTTATCTACCCCTGTCCGTATCTACATAACAGTAGATACCGACAGCCGCCCATCCCTATTTATTACACAGTTGATTCACTAAACCTACATACTGATGTTAAATGCAGCATACGCTATCATTTTGGCATTTAAAACAAGAAACTAATAATAGTATTAATTATTAAACTCGTGTAAGTACAAAAAATGGTTTACACATACTAGTACAAGATAGATACATACATCCGTTTAAGTCTCGTTGGTGAAACGAAACGCAAACGTCATTGTTAACATATGTACTTCCATAACCTTTCTACGTTATTTTAATAAAGCATTACATTAATAATTTGGTCCTTTTATAAAAACTAGACAACGCCTCGTGGTGCAATTCAATCGTAATTCATTGTTTTCAATTTTTAGAATTTATTTCATTGGCCAGTATAACTTGATCTGTCATTGTATGGACTATTCTAACATGACAGGTCAAAATATATACTGGACCTACACCTAGACGTATACCTTTGTCTAGCAGTTTTTACATAATTTTCAACTACCACATATTTAAAAATGTCAGCTTTCTTTACACTTCTTTTACATATAAACTAGGTTCCAAATTCCACAATCTTGTCTGTGCGCGTGTGCTTAAAAAGAGTACAAAGAATTCTCCTCACGTTTTAATATTACGTACATTTAATGACTCACAAATATGGCTACTTAAAAACCAGTAGGAACGACAATTTCATAAAGTGAAAGCACTCCGTGTAATTTTTTGTCCAGAATTACGGGCGTTGCTCGCGCGTTTTGTTAACGTGCGCCAACAACACGCACTTTGTTTAAAACGTTTATTACATGTTAACTTACATTTTAATTTGACGCTTGCTTTTAAAATCATTGGTTTATACATATGTTCCCATCAGCGAGCGTTTTCCAAACGACAAATCGTGATTTTGTTAACACAATTTGGCCATTTAAAGCGATTTTTAGTATAAGCATAGCATGACACGAAATAAGATAGTAAAAATTTAAAGTTTTAATAATTCATTCCATCTGTTTTAATTATTCATTTTCAACAAATACAGCACTTAAACTGAATTGCGACATCTTCCGAGAACCGCTCGCCATGTGAACTCTATGTCAAAACCACGCGCGTGCGAGGCGCGGCCCACGACCGTACGTCTGAACGGACTCTGATTAGACCTTAACGTGGTTTTGTTAATGTTACAGATAACATATTTTAAATATTAATAATAGCATTAATATCTTATACCTTTTAGTAGACTACATACCACAAATTTCGATGTCCCCCCAAAAATTTGGTTAAGCTTCCATGTTTTAATTTAATATACATATATATACAGGTGTTACAGAAAGGTGTGGATATAACTAAAGGACGTAAATTAAACCCCTTAAGGGTGAGGCGAGGTAAATAAGCGTAATTATTTGAGATACGAGTCACCGAATTTCTGCTGCATTCTGTTTAATACAAAAAATGAGTTGTTGCTGACTCACGGGCATTATTGAGTCCATCCATTACAGAGGGATGGACCTCAGCGAGTATAAATGTTGGATACCAACTCAAATCCCGTCCGTTTGGCAGCCGTACCTGATTTCAGTTGAACATAAATTGTGTAATAAACTCATAAAATTACGCTTATTTTGATTACACTTAACTGTAACACACTGTATAAGTATTATTTAGGCCTTACGATGGTATCAGGCTTATCATGAGCCTGGCATAAAACAAAAATCAGTACATCAATAGAAATAAAAACATTTTAATTAAATTTAATAAAAAAATAATTGGAATTATTAAATTGAGCAAAACTGTGCTGTTTTTTGATGAAAAAAACCTTGATAGTAAATAGGAGGATAACAGATTAGAAAAAGTTAGACAGTAGCTAATTATTTGTACATCAGGCAACAGTTTCGTTCACATGGGTCGGCTTTTAAAAAAAATTGGCACAAAAAAGAAGGATAAAAGGTGTTATTTATTTAGTTATATTCACGAATAAGAAAAAAGAAATCAAGATATACACGAAACATTTAAGTATTAAGTATTTTATCAGTCAATCTAGCTTTCAGAGTAGAAATTCTGATTAGTTTGAAACAAGATGGCGATGGATACAAACAATATGGGCATCTGACACATCTCTGCCTACCTCTTCTGATACCGGTGTGAGTGTATGTATAATATCATTAAATACAAAACTTGTTAATTGAAACTTGGCTATTTTATATAATATAATTACTTAAAGTACACATAATTATAAAATAACACTTTATATTCTTGATAAGCTTTAGCTCCAACGTCAGACCTGAGTTATCACTTAATAATTTTGCATCTGTGCAGCATTAGACATATTATCATCAACAGCCTTCACTAGTCCACTACTGGACTCTCCTTAGAAAGGAGGTTTTGGCCTACTATACCACGCTGGCCAGACGGGTTGGTATAAGATTTGTGTCAAGTTTACCTTCTCTTTGCAGTGCTGTTGTCCTGCGTAGTTTGCTCTTACTACACATCACATCATCACACATCAACAGCCTTTAATAGTCCACTGCTGGACATAGGCCTCTCCTTAGAAAGGAGTTTTTGACCTACTATACCACGCTGGCCAGCTATTTGGTATAGGGTTTGTTTCAAGTTTTCCATCTCTTTGTAATGCTGTTGTCCTGCGTAGTTTGCTCCCTTAGTCGGCTCATAAGACACACAGGGGATGAATAATAAATAAATATATAACATAATGAATATTATTTTGAATTGTTTTTACCAGTTCACAATTATAATGTTCAAGTTTTTGTAAACCAATGTGATTGTAAGTAAAGTCTGTGATGTGCATAAAATAGAGAGGGGAAAATGGTGGACTAGTGTTGGACTTCACTGGGTTCACGAGCATCCCAACATATCTCATAATATTTGAGTATAGCTAAATTATTATATGAAAAATTGTTTTAAAATTTTCAAAATCATTGAAAGACTATAATATTTCAGAACGATTCTTGTTATTCTGGTATTTTATTTATGTCATTTATTGAACGTACAGAAGCGGCAGCTGTCAGCCGGCAGGTGCCGTTATCTTCACTGTGCTCGTGCTCGAACAGTTCACGGTACGTGGTGGTGGTGGTGGTGATAGCAGAGGGGGAGGAGAGTTACTAGCTGGCCGAGTTGTTGTACTGCGGCCGGCCGGCCAGCTCTAGCAGGTATCTGTCTGGGTGCTCGATCCAGTCCGCGGCTGACAACTTCACCTACAATGATAAATTAAATTAATCACAAAACGAAAGAATTATGATGTGGCAACACCACCAGCCTTTCGTCGTTACAATCTACCAATCAACTTATAGCAGTGTACTCCTGTACACTGGCCTCTCCTTACATACGCTATAGACCTCGGTCCTACGTTAGGAAGTGCTAATAGGATCTTATGCCCATTAGCACTTGGGCATACTTGTAATGAGCACGGTCATTTGTTCTGTGTCTGGGTGTACTTTATCAATAATATCTATGTATTTAAATATAATATATGTTTATTAGCAGTCTGGTTACCATAGTACAGGCTCTGCCTAGTTTGGGATCAGATGGCCGTGTGTGAAAATATTATTATCTTACAATGAAACATAAACTGAATGAATACAGGTCTACGGTTGCCATAATGAGAAATTCCATACAACTTTAGTGTTGCCAGATATATCACTTTACAACCCACATTTTACTTTTAACTATGCACATACCTCCGACTCAGATTCTCATTGCCCATTCAATTTGGATTGCTTAGATGAGGAATAAGAAGAGACTAACCAATATTGAAGCTAGCGGTTCTTTTTGTGTTGTTAGTGTAAAAAATATTTTTGAAATGATTACTAGCAACCGAAATTACTAGTATTCCCGTTAACCCCTCCAGTTAAGCTAACTTAACAAGCATGTGGTTTCACGTCAGTATCAGATCAGATCAGGATTCGAACCCACGACCTCTTGATCGCAAGTCCAATGCCGTAACCACTAGGCTACCGCCGCTTCAAAATAGTACCATTTTGGTAGAAATACAGAATTGTTCCAATTTAAGCGCCGGTTCAATATTGGTCTCTCTCTCCTACCTACTCGTATACCAGGGAAAGAATGATTAAAGAATTCAAGTTACATACACTTCTTTGTCTCTCAGCCTCCTTGACTTGCCACTTTTTGATTTCTAGCTGCGTTTCACGAGACGCCTGGTCACCGCAACCCCACACCTGAAAGGAACAATTTAGGAACATTTTTCACTTCCCAACTCTTCGACGAGCACGGGCTGTTAGTATTCTATTTTTAATCTAAATTCATTACGCCGCTAGTAATTTAGATAATTCAAATAAGATAGTTTGTATAAAACGGGTGTTGCAAGTTATAAATTATAGTTTGATTGAGGGGTTGCCACGAAAAAACCTCTAAATGTCAACACAAATTAAACTATATATTTTTTATTAAATTTATTATGTCAGTACTTCGGCTTTCGCGGTAATAAGTACCCTATGTTACTCGCTGATAATGTCGCTTTCCATTAGCTTCCATTGTAGTTTAGGCGTGAAAGCGTTACAAACAAACTCACTTTCACATTTAAAATATAACAAGTATGGATTGATTTTGACTTGGATATATCATATCTCTTTTCTTTATAGAATTTTAGGTAATAATTATATGTAAATGATTCCGACACTTCGCTGTGGCACATTGTAGCTACATTGCTGAGAAATAAAGAACAAAAGTGACGCGAAAAATAGATAAAAACCATCTCTAAAGCGCTAAATTGCTGAATCGTGTAAAAATTTGAACTCAATAAGTGTAAAACTGATAGAGTTGTTGAAGCGTACACAAACCAACTTAAATTGTATATATACATATTAGATTAAACTTTTTTATATATAATTTTTTTATATTCAAGAAAAGAGCGTACTCCTTCCTAAAAGGCCGGCAACGCGTTTGCGACTCCTGAGTTGCAGACGTTCATGGACGGAGATGGTCACTTTCCATCAGGTGACCCGTCTGCTCGTCTGCCCCTTCTAACATAAAAAATAATAACTAGTAAACTTACCTCGATGTTCTGCAAGGGATACGGCACTCCCTTGAAAGTGACAGAGTCGAAGTCTTCAGGAATAATCAGCAGCGGTTTCCTGGGGTCGGACCCTGCGCGGAGCCCCTTGGGGTAGCCCCGGATCGAAGTGTTCAGGTACAACATCTTTGGTGCGTGTTCTACTACGCTGAAACTGTATCAAGAATTGTTTAAACAAGAAATTATAAAATCAAACAAAAAAAAAACCGAGTGCCTTATAAGTTGTCTATATTTTTGTAAAGCATTTATTACAATTGTATTGTGCATGTATTTACCAACGCTGTTTTGCCAATATTATTGTTTTTCATTTTTAATCATTTTTCATATTTTTTTATCTCTTTTTTTGTTTTTTTTTTTGTTGCCAACTCGTTTGGGACGGTAATTGTTTTCTTCCAAACGCATACTCGGAGGAAATAGATTGCTGTCTCAAATATAAGCAAGTAACACTGTATACCTTAAATTGAAAACGGCGATGTAATGTCTACCGAACAACAATGTATAGCGAAATGTGTAATCGCAACTGGCACCCACAGGACAGGCTTGCCTAGTGTGGGGCCACCGGCAATGTATCACATATTTTGTACTTTTCTTTTTGGTAATAAATGAATTTGATTTGAATTAAGAAGAATAAAACGACATCAAGTCAAAGTTCCTCACGCCGTTTACACTCGACAACATAACCCTAAAACAAATCTTTTAATGAACAATTTGAAACCTTAACAAGAGTAAACTTACGTAGGACAGACTACTATGAGGGCACAGTCAGGTCCCCCCCAGTATTGGTGAGTTTCCCGCCACTCTTGTGGACTGCACACAACTATTACCATTTCTTCGGCTTGGATCAAGACTAGGGTCGGACCTCTGGAATCCAAACAAAACATTTTACTCTTAAACTATTAATTTTTCATTAACAAAGGTATTTTGGTATTATTACTATCATATCGGTTGTAATATATATATTTTTTTTTTTTTAAAAAGACAACTCCCGCACTAGGAATAAATCCTGTGTCGCGGGGGACTTTACAAACATACATGAAACGGACACAAAGTACATCCAGACTCAGAACAACAATTTGTGGATCACACAAAGTGTTATCCCATGTGGGGTTTGAACCCACAACACTCAGCGCAATAGAAAGTGGCGTGGCGACTGCTTAAACTACTACGCTATCCGTGCAGTCGATATGTGATATGTGAACAATAACAATTAAATTTAAAAAAGTATCATCTACTTCAATGTCTCTAAACCATGATAATAATAATGAGTTGTTTACTTTATCTCTGAATTTTAAAACACGTATTCGGAACAGATAAAAAGCTGAAAATTGTTTATTGTGTATGTGTTGTAAAATATCACTATTAAGATGTGGTTTTGATTATTTTTACTTTACTATGCATCTGACATCTCACATACTGGCGCGTCGCTGTTCGGCCGCCGTTCGCCGGCAGATCGAATAGCGCGTATTTCCTCGCTATAAACTCCGTCCTTACACTTCACAGAGCAGAAAAGGTGAGCGTCGGTCGATGGTGGTGGGTGTGATGGTGGTGGTGGTGCACGTACCGGTAGGCGAGCGTGTGGTGCAGGAAGCGGTTGGCGCCGAGCCCGTGGTCGCGCGCGGCGTACAGCGGCACCCAGTGCGACGGCACCGCGCACACCAGCCGCGCCAGCCACGCCGCGCTCGCCAGCCCGCCGCCTGACACACACACACTTTACTTCTCGGGACTCTATATATACTAGCAAACGGCTATGAATAAGCGAAAGGAACTTCGTTCTGACCGATCATCTGATCCTTAGCCATTTCTTTTATTTATTTTTCTAAAAAGACAACTCCCGCTTCACGAATATATCTTATGTCGCAAGAAACTTTAAAAACATACCTACATGAAACGGACATAAAGAACACCCAGACTCAAAATAGCAATTTGTGTACAAGTGGCATCACTTGTACACAATTTCATGTAGGGTTCGAACCCACAATGCTCAGCGCAGTGGGATGCGGCGAGGTGACCGCTTAAAACACTACGTCATCCACAAGTGAAAACACATTATTGTTACAAAAACTAATACTAAAATTTCAAACTTTTTTGAGACTTTATCGACTTGCCACCCGTCCCTTTGAAGCATTAATGAGCGAATTTAAGTGAAATAAAATATTATTTAGGGATAATATGCCTTATGAATGTGGCCGTGAGATTGTTTTCCCTTTCATCTCGTAAGGCTCAACCCCTTGGAAACGGGCGGTTGTAGATCGCCACAGGCATATAATAGATTTTCGATACGTACATTTTTTTTATGGTATACGGGGCAAAGAAGCAGACGGGTCACCCTCCCGTTTGAGTCTGCGGGAGTGAGGATTTGAGCTCCGGTAACGTCACTCACTCAGTAAAAGGCAAACGAAAGGATTTCTTAACGCCAGTTTTCTGTGAGGCCGTGGTATCACTCCGGTCGAGCAATAAATATTTTGCTAAATATAACTTTAAAATCTACATAAGAGACGATTTCAAACTTTCTTTTTTATTAAATAAAGACATAAATTTGACCTACGTATGACTTTAGACAGAAAAATAACAAAATTAACACGTCGATTTTTCTAAAGCGTTTGACACGTTTAATGTATTTACTTTTAAAATTTTGACATGTCATGCGGAGGGATAAGGAAAATGTGGCGAAGAAGTTTTAGGTATGGGAGTTGAAGGGTACAAGAGAAGAGGCAGACCGAAGAAAAGATGGATGGACTGCGTGAGGGAGGATATGGCTAGGAAGGGAGTAAACAGTGAGATGACGCATGACAGAGTAGAATGGAAAAATCATACATACTGCGCCGACTCCAAATAAAATTGGGAAAAGGGTAGGCAGATGACTTTTAAAATTTGTACAAACCTAATGTAATTATTGAAATAATATAATATATATTTGACGACCGAATGGCGTAGTGGTTTGTGTAACGGACTGCTATTCCAAAGGTCGCGGGTTCGATTCCCGCTCAAGTCAAACATTTGTGTGCATGAACATTTAATGTTTGATTTGGTCTGGGTGTTTCTATGTATAATATGTATGTATTTACAAAAAAAAAGTATATATGTATTTATATCAGTTGTCTAGTACCCATAGTACAAGCTCTGCTTAGTTTGGGACTAGATGGCCTTGTGTCACAACACGTCGATTTTTCTAAAGCGTTTGACACATTTAATGTATTTACTTTTAAAATTTGTACAAACCTAATGTCATTATTGAAATAATATAATACTACATTTTTATTCGTGTTTATAATACAGTGCATCAAATTTATAAACAGAGATAATATGTAAATCTTAGTGATCATTTGTCTGTCGACTGCCTCGGTGGAGCAGTGGCAGCGTATGCGACTGCTGTGCTGAAATCTTGGGGTCGATTCCCGGGTCGGACTAAATGATTGTATAATCTGCAAATATTTGTTTCGGAGCAGGGGTTTTTTGTGTATAATATGTATGTATTTCCAAAAAAAAATATGTGTAAGTATTTTATCAGCCAATCTAGCTTTCATAATACAAGCGCTGCTTAGTTTGAAACTAGATGGCGTTGTGTCTAAGATGTCCGAAACATTATTATTATTGACACATTAAAAATACCACAGGATCTATTCTAATCCAGTCATTTTAGTTATTTTTATAAAGGCAACACTTATCTGGCAATATTTTATTGCTTAAGCAAATAAACTAAAATCTTGTTAGATAGAAATGATTATCCGATCATGCGATACTTTAAAACTCGTGCATAAAGTTAATGTACAATATTGAAATCATCCGAACATAATTTACATTTATTCTAATAAAACAATAACAAATTTTATACAAGTTGTCTATGAATTATAATGATAATAATAGACAAAACAATGCTATGACGGCGATTAATGATGAAGTTAAAAAAAAAGCAATAAATTTGTTATTCAAGGAACAAGCCAATTAGCCACTACAATAAAACATGTTAGAACTGAACTCCTAGAAATAAAGGATGCACAGTATTAAACAATATAGACACCGATGTTAACTATAATGTTGGTGACATCACTACAGCTAAACATACCGTCTTCTGCGTATGTCGGTGTCGGGTTTGAGCGAGAAATAAAAAAAAACACATTTCATTATTTCAACTCATTTCAAAATATCTGCTCGATATGTCATAATATACTTTGAATAGGTTCTTAATTAAAAACTCTTCAGCGACACTGGTGATTTAAATCGTACCACGGTCGCTCCATGTTCCCTGACATATGCGGTCACAAATACGTGGGTCTCACCGGGCGGCTGGTGCGGCGGCTGCGTGGGGCGGCTGTAGAGCGGCGGCGCGGTGCCGGCCAGCAGCCAGGCGCGCGACACGGGCATGAGCGCGCTGGCGGCCTGCCACGCGCCGCGCTCCAGCACCGGCGTGGCCAGCTCCAGCCCCGCGCCCAGCCCGCACGACTCCACGTGCGCCTCCATGTCGCGGTGGCGCGTGGCCAGCATGTGTACGCAGTACCTGCCGCCGGGACCACACGCAGCCGTTAGTCGTAGGAATCGACAGTGACACCCGTCGCACGCGAATACGGACGATGAATTATATCTAATTATCTTTTAAGCGGGGAACGCTTCTCGCACCGTACCCTCCCTCGGGGAGACGGAGAACGCGTGCGGGACTCCCGGAGAACCGGTCTGCTCGGAACTCCGCGGCGGTCGGAAGGACTCCAGGAACGCATCGGCGGCTTCCGGAGTCCTCTCTGCCGCACCCCACGACTGAGGCCTACCTCGGAGTGACCGTAGTCACCCTCGCAGGACGCCGACGCTCCTCTCGTAACTATACACAGTGAGAGGCGCAACAGACACCCACCCGACGCCCCCCGGCGGCCTATGCGGCCTCCTTCTGGAGCGTAACGTCCTCGCAGTAGGAGACCGCGGCTACCCGTCTCGTCCGACCGGGACTCGACGCTCGGACTCCCGTGCGGGGCAGTCCTCCAGCGCGTGCTGGACGCAGTGGGGTAAATCATACCTGTGAACTGGGAAAATCAATCTATGACAGTGTTCCTCGAGCCAACGAACCACAAAACCGACACTGTGAGAGTCTTTATTGTTAAAGCAACCGTTCACTACCGCCGACAACGTCTTGTTGATCTATAAAGAGAAGAAGAAAAGACCGTTAATGAATGAGCATCATGTAGTTGATAAAAATATTCAACGGATGTTGAGACTCACCATGAGACAAGTCTGGGGCCCTTCAGGATAGTGGTCCATGGAAAGTTTGTAACTTGTGTATAATAAACTGCGTAGCCCGTCTGGTGTGACAGTGTTGTCATCATCGTCTGAGCTGAACATCCTATAAAAAGAAGTTATGTTTGAAGAATTTATAACCTTCTAGATAAACCGAACCACGCTTTGCTATGGATCTTGATAGATAAAGCCACAGTGATACAATGGCTTCATCATATCAACGTTCTGTGACAAAATACCTAATGCAATCTAAATTAAAAAACTTTTATTTTCTGTTGAAGTTCAGTCTTTGGTAACCTAACTCATAATCAAAGAAAGAGTAGCTTAACCATCTCCTGTGAAGTCCTGGTATCACTCGGATGGAGAGGGCCCACAACGTGACCACAGCATGGCTCTCCCATGATTTTCTTGAGACATGAATTTTCTTCTCGGTGTTTGCCTCCTTTCAGATATATTCTTTACGACCGTGAATCCTGAATGACGGAGATATTACAGTGGTCCTCACCTCACGTAGGTGTCGATGATGACGTTATCATCCAGCATGGCGAGAATCTTCTCGCACTGTTGTCTGAAGGTGGATAGGGGAATGTGTTTGTTCTTGCATTTGCCAGCTTTGTGCACGTATTTGTAGAACTGGGTAGCTAGCTCCGGATACATCCCGAACAGGTATTTCTGAAATTTAAAAGTTTAAGCTGTCTACTATTTATCTATATATGCATTATTTTTTTATCTATATATACCAAATGGCGTAGTGGTTTGTGTAAGGGACTGCTATTTAAAGGTCGCGGGTTCAATTCCCGCTCAAGTCAAACATTTGTGTGCATGAACTTTTAATGTTTGATTTGGTCTGGGTGTTTCTATGTATATGTATGTATTTATAGTTATATCAGTTGTCTAGTAGCCATAGTACAAGCTCTGATTAGTTTAGGACTAGATGGCGTTGTGTGGATGTCGTAGAATATTATTATTTGTTACATATTTGTTTAAATTATATACATGTATAAGTTTTGGAGACTTGTACGTATATATCTATTAGTGTATATAATATATATAATACTGACGAGGTTTTTTTTTATGTTAGAGGGGGCAGACGAGCAGACGGGTCACCTGAGAGTAAGTGATTATCGCCGCCCATGAACGTCTGCAACTCAGGAGTCACAAACGCGTTGCCGGCCTTTTAGGAAGGAGTACGCTTGATTGTATATAATTGCAACTACTTATTTTTTATATCGAAATCTAATGCTGTATGTTGAATCTTCTATAATTATTTTGCAATACTACACCAAAACTACACATGAATTCATCTATGCAAAGGTTACCTGCCTGCACTTTTATTAATTTGATTTGATGATTCCTTGTAAGGAAACAAAAGAGTTTTGTTACATAATAAAGATTATTTTATTCTAATCTATGATTACACCTGTATTTTTGTGAAGATCTTAGCTGACGGCTTCATATAATGTTCGGGTGTACAAAGTCGTAAAAGGGCAACTAAGGAAATAATAATAATAACCCGACCCAGTTCTCGAGAATGGTCGGGCCACGTTGTATTGGGATCGATCTATTATCACAGACAGGACTATTGTTGCCAATAAGCCTGATATTTTAGTGATAGATCGATTAGAGCGCCGCGCAATCATTGTTGATATCGCCGTTCCTCATGACCAGAATCTCGTGAAAGTTGAAAAAGAAATACAAATAAAATATTTGGATTTAACTCACGAAATTGTCGATATGTGGAATGTCGCTTCAGTTATCATTGTTAAGATAGTTCTATCTGCTCACGGATTGATAGCCAAGAGCCTCGACCAATACCTTAAAAGGCTCACGTTGGACGCCTGGATCAAGGGTCTGATGCAGAAGGCAGTCCTTCTTGACACGGCTCGTACTCGTATAGTGAGGTGATTCCTATCTTTGGAGTCCTAACCACCGGTATCTAGGTCCCTGTACCCGATGACGGTGGTCTACTATTTTTAAATGTATTTTGTTTTCTTTTGTAATATATTTAAAAATGTAATCAATATGTATGTATAATTTAATAAAGAGCATAAGAATAAATATTTATTTGCTTCAAACATGTGTAGTTTACAGGAAAACTTGCACAGACAGTTTTATAAACGAAGCATTGCGGCCTTTCACAGAAGGAAAAGAACTCACAAGGTTCTTCAGCTGCGTCATTTAATATGGCAGAAATATCTATTTTTTTAAAGGAAACTCGCAATAGGAAATATCCTGTCGTGGGAGATTTTATGGACATACTTGTAACAGACACATAGAAGACCCTCACACATCTCACATACGGCCGTCCGAGTCCAAACTCTGACAGACCCTGTACTGTGGTAACTAAATTGCTGATAAACATACTTATATATTCCTAAATATAAACATATTATAAGAAAATTACACACAGACAGAACAAATAATCGGGTTTACCAGTCGATTACTTCTCCTGGATGGGCATCGACCCCACGACTTCTAGCTTAGTAGCTACTAACCACTAAACTAACTAAAAACTAAAACTAAAACACTAACTAAAAAAACTTGACACAAACCCTATACCAACCCGTCTGGCCATCGTGGTATAGTAGGCCAAAACCTCTTTTGTAAGGACAGGCCTATGTCCAGCAGTGGACTATCAAAGGCTGTTGAAGTGATATAATATTTAAGTACTCACGGTAAAACACTTTTCAGTGACACCATTGACTCCATCTTCCTTCTGTGAACGTTGTGCCAACAACTGGAACAAATACATATTTTGTTAATTGTATTTAAATGCTTTTAAATTTGGGTTTTTCAACTTCATGGTACGGTATATCGGTAAATACATTTTAAGTCAGGGATACACACTCACTCTGTGAAGAATAACTAAACTAGTCTAAAAAAAAGAAAATAAACAGAGGAAGGATGGGCCGGTAACTTTACTTACTCGATGATAAACAAGATCAGAATTCCTTACGCTGTGGGAATGTGGCATCACTTTCAGTCCGCCCATTTGTGCTCATCGTAATTTAAATAATGTCATACCACAGAGCTGGATGCAGCTCTTTACTTAAGCGCAACACACATAAAGTGGGTGCGGGCGCTGGTCGGGACGGCAGTGCGGCGATTTTTTTATTTTATGGTATAAGGGGGCAAACGAGCAGACGGGTCACCTAATGGTAAGCAACTACCGCTGCCCATGGACACCTGCAACTCAAAAGTCATATGTGCGTTGCTACCCTTGGAGTCCCTCCCGTTCGAGACAGCAGGAGGGGGGATTTGGGCTCTAGTAACCTCACTCGCTCAGTGAAAGGCAATGAAAGGATTGCTTAACACCGGTTTTCTGTGAGGCCGTGGTATCGCTCCGGCCCTTTCGTGCCGAAGCAGGGCTCTCCCACGGTAAAACACGAGTCTAATCCCTTGTATTTATATGGAAGAAAACCCGAACTGCCCACGTTTTTAGTGCATTTTCAATTAGTCTCGCCGCACTCCCGTCCCGAACCGTACCCGCTTTATGCGTACAAGTGACGTAAGAACAAACTATAGAGATTCTGGCTTTCGCTTTGCAACATATGACTCAATACTTATGTACTACTATAATAATAATATTAAATAATAAAATACATGTGTGTTAATATGTTATTCACACTTATTGTGTGGTCGTTTTGCTGGATCTCATCATATATTTGATTTACAAGAATTGAATAAACAAATTCCAACTCTGAGAAAAATTGTGTGAATGTGGAATGGAAAATATTGCAGTATTGCAGCAGCAGCATAAATAGGCGTAATGTGTTTTTTTCTAATTCAGGGTAAAATATGTAGTATGATTTTAGGGTATTGTATAGAAGTAATAAATATTATGATTGGCGGGTTTTATTTTTTTTTTAAATAAAAAAGAACAGTTGAGTAGATTTTTTCACCTCATGCTATGTCACTACCGCCACGCATGGATCAGGTGTCCTCCTCCAGGTGGCTCAAGATACGACATATGGACACAGACAAACCTCGGTGTTAGGGATGGAGTAAATCACAATCACCTTCGATAAATCATATAATCACACCTGTGACTAATTTACGAGACCGCTTATTACGCTAGGGAAAGACTCGCAAAAGGTCTCACAAAAAAATCTTTGATAAAAAGAATTTTGATTCGATTTTGTTGGCATTTATCTTTGTCTATGACTAAATCACAATTCCAGGTGAAATCGCAGTGACTAAATCCAATCATTTCATCATATGATTATGACTTGAAAGTAGCAGTAAATACCATGTCTACTAGGTGTTAACTTTTGTCCATTGTTTAATCATTTTCCTGAGGTAACTATGTATTTTGATATGTAATTTTAAATTAAGTATGTACATTCATTTAAAAAAAAAACAATATACGATTTGACATAAATGTTTTAAAGCAAGCAATATCTAATTGAGTAATTTTTTATTCATTATTGAAGAGTCACGCTCGATCTCCCACAGATAAGGCTATTATGTCTAAATTCCTTCAATATGAAACATTTCTAACTTTCAACATTAGATAGAAACGCGATCATGAAATAATTGTTACATACGTAATGTATTCACAGAGAGTACAGTCTTTGATACAAAGTTTCAGTCTTCTGTTAGTACTTCTGCCTCAGGCTAACGTGTCCATTGATATCACTTAAAATATAGAAAAGTCGATGATCACCTTGACAACTTTGTTTTGTCCTACAGCAAATCAATGTTTACCATGTATATTTGCTTATACCTAACCTGTACAAACACAGTGTAAATAATAAACTAATATTATATATCGTATTAAGCAACAAAGTAAGGTCAGTAAAAATATTTTTTTCCTGTTTTGGATATCTTCGAACACAATGTGTAGGTACATTCGTAACTTTCATAGCGCACACAATGATAATACGTCATTGAGTGCACATAGGGTTGCCATTTTTAAAACCTGCCCCCCCCAGGACCAGAAGCGTAAGTTCCCCGGATTTTGAAGCTTTCACCCCGGACAATTCAATGCTTTTGACATTCTCTTAGATCTCGATTAAAATATATTTTACTCCGTACTTGATAGAAGAAAACTTTAATTTTAAGACTCTTTTGTTGCATGAAATAGTGTGTTTAATCGTTCTTGTGACGACAAGTGAGTAATTTTGCTTTATTTTTAACCTTCTTAGGTATTAAATAAAAGATAAACAAACCCAATATTAGTTACTCAGTTAATAAAATTAAATGAAAACTTGTTTAACAAGTGCGGTGAAATACCTGAAAAATTGTAGTCCGGGTTGCACCCGGACTACAATTTAAACCTTGCCAGGACGCTCCCCGGACATCTTCCAAACTAGGACAAATCCGGGGAAACCAGGACGGATGGCAGCAGGCACACATGTACAGAAAAGCTAAAACTACTAGTAGTGAATGTAATGCCGTGAACCATTTTAATAAATGACACTAAATTTTAATAAATAACAGAGGATACGCTACTATCAAAAACATAACGAGGTTTCATATAAATTTCCAACTCCCATTTTGCACCCTTAGGGGTGGAATTTTTTAAAAACCTTTCTTAGTGCACACCTTCGTCATCTAAGGAATATTTGTGCAAAATTTCATGCTTCTAGACCCACCGGTTGCAGCTGTGCGTTGATCGGTCAGTCAGTGAATCAATCTGTCAGTTTCTTCTTTTATATATATACGATTATCTTGACTGCAATGGACAGTTGACCTTTCAATCAAAAGACGGACATACCGACCTCTTTGAACTACTAGTCTCAATATCGTTTGCCATCTAAGACTTGCACAATTCTTTATCCCAACTCAATTCCGTGTTTGTTTTCTTAACTCAATACTCCGTCTTCCTTCATTCTGGCTGAAAACGATGACATTCCTAAGGAAAATTAGCATTTGGCAGGCGGTATAGTACTCATGGTTATTCAAACAAAACAAAGTCTGTGCGGTGACGGATTAAGAATACGGAGTGTCACCAGTTCTATTTATTCCGTGGGTGTCGACCAAAGGAGCAAACTACGCAGGACAACAGCATTGCAAAGAGAAGGAAAGCCTGAAACTATCCCTCTACCAACCCGTCTGGCCAGTATGGATTTGTAGGCCAAAACCTACTTTCTAAGGAGAGGTCTATATCCAGCAGTGCAGCTGTTGATGATGATGATGATAATACGGGGACCGTCCGTACTTTTTTTTCCAATTATATTTTGACATCGGAGTAAGATTACACATTGCGCCGGCCGCAATATAAAATTGGAAAAAGTGCAGTAAAACTACGATGGTGCTGGAATGTTAGAAATGTCATCAAAGGCACAGGAGATACCGGCCGCCCCAATATTTCTCGGGAAAACGTCATTGAGAGTCGAAACAAACTTGTGTCTGAAATTGAAACGTCCGTTTAGATTGGGGCCGACTAAATCTAGTCCAGTTCAACCCAAAAAAGACACAGGTCTGTGCGTTCACCGCAAAAAAGACACCGAAAATAAAAAAAGGACACCGGATACCATTTTACCTCACTGTGTTCCTAATGTCCGTCATCATCATAGAAAAGTCCCACCGATTCTTTATTAATCCTGTGTTAAAAATGTGATTTGACTTCGTAACGTACATTTTATCACCTACACAGTAACATGATTTAAGAGACGCATTTACATGAAAACTGCCTTGAATATCATTCAAGGCAGTTCAAGAACTTAAGATTTTTATAGTCTAATGAATCATTGTTCTAAAATAATGAACTGTTTGTTTATTGCGATACTAAAATTGCAAATAATCTGATGTTACTTATCTGGATTTAAAAGAACATTTCATATGAGATAACATTATCTAGCAGCGATGGGAATCAAAAAGGTCTCAGTGACGTCTATTTTCCGTCATTACCGTGGAAAAAATCATCTTTTTATAAGCTACATGCCGAAATTATGTGTGGACTACAAAATAGAGATTTTACTCTCGTCGTGTCATCGTTTGGTTATTATATGAGTCAGATGTAATTTAAGTCTTATGAATAATTGGATTATTTTAAGCCACAGTCGTACTGTCGTGATTCACTAGAAAGATCAGGAATTAATAGATGCACAAGGCGGAAGACTCGTCAATAATATTAGAAATTATTTGTAAGAGGAAGTGTGGATTTTAAAGTTATATTTGAAGTTCTCTGGACAAGCGAGAGCTTAATTCCAAATGATGAATTTAAAATACTGATAAAATGCGCATCGCAATGAGTTTTAAGTATTTGGCTAATGATTTTAAATATAAATTGCCCTAATAGGGTAAATAAATTCGGAAATAAAAATTAGAATACATAAGATAAGCACATTAATTTTTTGACTATTTATGCCAGCTAGGAATAAATGTTTGTTGCATTTTGTTCCATATCCATTCTAAACCTATTTATTAGAACAGTGTTGAAATGAACGAAATTCTGGAGCTGTACTTCAATACGACGACAGTTCAATGTTGAATTTTCGAAGTTTTAAGGTGACATAAAGCAGAAAACAAATATATCTTGTTGCATGTCTGAAACTGTCGGATAAATACAGTTCTGGATCCAATGGAGGACCTTTATCAAAGTGTGGAAAGACTTTTGTTTTGTTTATAAATATGAAAACTTTTGACGAAATATTTAGGCATTAGGAACATTGACCTACAGTTTTATTGACTTTTCCAGAGAAACAAATACACAAATGAATGCCTTTATCAGACAAGAACGAGGTAAAGTTAAATTACTGATAACACGTCACCATCAATCATTGCAACCAC